CTCGTCGGGGCCTCTTTGCACCCAGAGGGGGCGGAAGGCTGGAATTCTGGGTTCGTGCTCCCCCTGTCGGGGCCCTTTTGGGCCGCTCTGGGGCTCCTCTTGGGGGGCCTCGTGGGCCGTCCTGGGGCCGTCTCGAATCATCTTGGGGCTCCCGAGAGGTCTCTGATGCCGTCTTGGGGTTTTCTTGGTCCCCTCGTGGGCCGTTTCGGGGCGGTCTTGGGCGCCTCTGGGTCCGCCTAGCAGCCTTGGGGGCCCGAAACAAGAAAAACGCCCAAATCCTTCACACACCGACGGAACAATCTATAAGTTTGGCCTCTTGGGGCACCCGTCGGGGTCTTCTTGGAACCTTTTTGGGCCGTCTTGGAGGCTGTCTTCGGGGTGGCTCGGGGCCGTCCTGGACCGCTGGGGCGGCTGTCTGGTCGCTCTGGGGGCCGATTTGCGCCCCCCAGGAGCGGGCACGGCCCCGAAGCGCCCCGAAAAAGGTCGCCACCCACCCACGGGACTAAAAAGGGGACCGGGGGGTGAATTGTGAAAAAGTGTGCCGCCCCCGGGGCCGGGGGCCCGGTTCCCCGTTCTATATATATATATATATATATATATATATATATATATATATATATATATAAATAATATATATATATGTATATAATGATAATAACAGAAAAAGGAATGCCGTTGGCAACGGCCTACGGGTAAACACCTTGTGCCATAGGCACGCCATCTCCAATTTCGAATGATTGACTATCTCCTCCCCTCCAGGGCCCTGCGACATGATGATGATGATGATGATGATGATGATGATGATGATGATGATGATGATGATGATGATGATGATGATGATGATGATGATGATGTCCGGGACCTGGCCGTTGAGCCTCCTGCGATGGACAGATGAGTGCGTCTTCCAATGCTTGGAAGAGAACTTGATCTTGCTCGGATCCACGTGGCCCACTTCGAGACCGTTCCTTTCTGACACTAGCAGCAGCTGGGACAACGGCACCACGCTCAGAGTCACACCGGTGTGCACTCCTCCCACGCTTACCAGCCCCAGGCGAAGCAGAACGAGCAACACGACGAGTTGGCCCAGGCGGTTCAGCTGGAGAAGTCGGCGGAGTGACGATCGGGGAAACCACTGTTCGCCTCGAGCGCCTCAAGGGAGTATCCTGGTTTTTGGAGCTTTTCTTGACCTTGCCTTTGTCTTTCTTGTCCGTCCTGCTGGAGCGAGCATCACCAGGAATCGCAGTCGCGCCAGCAAGAACTGGGAACTCTACAACTCACCCACCGACGCGACTGTCCGACAACGTCGGAGTAAGTGTCGACAAAAACGGGATTTGGGGGCCCAGCTCTCACTGTGAAGGCCGGGAGAATCCACCAGGCAAAACTGCCATGCCTGCCTCGGACTAGATGTATCCACTCTAGATCCCGACAGAATCGTAGTCTTGAGCCAAAGTGGCTACGGAGGGAAGAGGAAGATAAGGAGGAGGATGAGGAGGAGGAGGAGTAGGAGGACGGGAGGAGGAGGACGAGGAGGAGGAGGGGGAGGAGGAGGATGGGAATGTATCAAGGGGAGGAGGGGAGGGGGAAGAGGCAATGAGGGACATCGGTGAACTTTGTTAAAGAAGTGACTTTTTTTCGAGGGGGGGAAACACGAGGGAAAAAGGGACATTGATGTGGGAGGGGAGGAGGACGCATGAAAGGATGGGATGAGAGGGCTCTCCGCAGGATGAGCGGGCAAGGACGACAAATATGCGCTTGCCCGCTGGTCGGCGGTCTGTGGGGCAAAACGGGGCCTGCGCGCTTACACGCGAGGAAATTACGGCCATGCCGCCAGCGCGGCAAAGCCCGTGAAGAAGAGGCGCTCGCGCGCCTTACGCGGCCGTTTTTGGCGCCCGTGTTCGCGCAATAAACGCCATTTCTCGACGTCTTCGCCGGCAAAGCCAATGGTAGTATTTATCATTCGCTGTAGAATGTCGCCACGCCGACGCTTTGCTTTCCCACCGCGTCCACGCTGTGTTGGCCGAGGGAAAGAAGAGGGGGAGGAGAAACGGGAGACATGATCGAGCGCCCTGGGTAGAACACGCGCGCTCAAGTCCTAGTACAACGAATATGTTTCGTTATGCGGCCCCGCCGCACAACTGACGGCGTTGATCCCGCTTGCTTCGAACCTGCCGCCGAACTGCTCGAAGCCCTAAACAGGTACCTGTTCGTCGGCGGCGAGGCAGAGGCAATCCGCACCAGCGTGGGGCTAACTGGGGCAACCGATGGCAAATTGTCCGGCGCGCAGGAGAAAGAAAGAGAGAGGCGAACACGAGGGCGGCCGCGCGAAGGGGACGAGGGGGAGGGCGTTCAGACGTGGAAGCGTTCCGCGGTGAGCGGGCCGGAGCGGCCAGCCGTGGCAGCGGGGACCGCGGCAGCAGCCGGGGCCAGGGCCAGAGCGCAGCCGCGGACGCTGCCAGGGCGCGGGGGGCGGTGAAGATCAGGCAGGACCAGCACTGGGGCCCGAGGACTGCCATCGTCGGCGGTGGACAAACCTCCCTTTAATAAACCACCCTTTCGTGAAAACGGCCTCGGACCGAAACCGACGGACCTGGACCCGCAAAAATAACGGCCGTGACGCCCTCTCGCGAACCGAAAACGGCCAATTCCTTAATCGACGTGTCAGGGCAGGAGGTCTATCAACCTCCGACATCGGCAATAGCCTCTGGGTGCAAATGGCCAGCTTTGGGCGGCTCGCTTTCGCTTCCGCCGCCTTCCGCTGGCGGATCCGCCGCCACCTTTTGCTTCCGCTGGCTTCTTCCGTCGACGGCGGGGCGCGCCGAAGCCGAGGCCCTTCCTGGAGCGCCCTTGTCGCCCTCGTCGAGCTGGCACCGGAACGAAGGGCTGACAAGGAACGGGGCTCCTCCTGGGCCCCCGGAGCGCCTGGGTGCACGAGGAGGCGAGGCGAGGCGAGACGCTGGTCAGTCGACCCGGGGGGACGGCCATACGAAAAATCCTGCGGTGGCGCCGGAGCGTCGAGAAGCTTCTCGGCGCTCCGGGTGCACGAGGAACTACAAGAACAACCATGCAAGGACCTGAAGAACCGCGAGCCCTTTCCTGACCCGAACTGTTCCTCGTTTCAGCGTCTTGACCGTAGATGGCGAGCGTGGACGGAACGTCGAACCCCCGGAATTCAAGCTGCCTGTCTCGACGATGGGATTCTGAGCCCACCCCTTTGGCAATCGGAGCAAGGCGCTGAATGGGGGCAGTGGGCTTCAGGGTTCGAGGAGGGGGGGACGAGGGAGGATGACGGAGGGACGAGGGAACAACAAAAAGGAAGAGGGCGGACTTGATACATAATGAGAAGACGAGGATGATCATGAGAAGGATGATGAGCAGGAGGGGCTGACGAAGGGAAGACGAAGAGGAGGAGGCGGATAAAGGAGGCGGGATAGGAGGAGGAGGGGGAAGAGGAGGAGGAGGAGGAGGAGGAGGAGGAGGGAGGGGTGGATGGACATGGCAGGAGGAGGAGGAAGAGGAGGAGCAGAAGGAGCAGGAGGAGGTGGACGAGGAGGGTGGATGGAGGAGGAACAAGAAGAAGAGGAGGAGAAAGAGCAGGGAGGGACGAGGAGGAGCAGGAGGTCAGGAAGGACAGGTGAAAACCCAGGACGTATCAACGACTGTGCAAATACAGCATCTCCTCGCGTTCCCACCTCGTGATTCACTAGCTGCCCTCGTTTTCACTGCAAGCAGCGCCCTCCCTTGGAAGACGCACGCCCCACAGGTCTGCCATGACAGTGAGAGCTCCGCTTTTTAACACGAATCTGCCTCGCATCTCTTTGTCGAGAGTGCTGCAAAAGGGTAGGGCCATAACATCCACGGGGGTGCCCAACGAGGGCTCCATTCTTAAAAGGGCCCCCCACCGTCCGTACAAGTGTTGCAAAGACCTTGCGCTTCTGGCCATCAGTCTGAGGACGTCTCCAACGAGAACCCCACTTTGAAATCGAACCGCTCTCTATCCGTGCTGCTGCTCTATATGTTTGCAGGCTGCTGACAATAACAGGTACGGAGGTCTCACGCGAGAGCCCCAGTTTGAAAATAAGCCGCCCTCCATCCTAATAGCTGTTGCAAGCTTTTGGTGTGAGAGCTGCACGGCGCTCTGGCGAGAGCTGCGCGGCGCTGAGGTACGACCCCGTTCTGAACACGTGCCGCTCACCATCCGTCCAATGGTTGCGAGCTTTGAATACGAATGTTTTTTTGTTTGTCCTTTCCTGCTGTACGCTTCAGTCACGAATTTGAAAGGACCAGCCCTGCATGCTTATAGCTGTTGCAAACTTCCAAGGCGAATTTGCACGGCGCTGAGGCGAGAGCCCAATTTTGTAAACGACCCCATCCACCCATGCAATCGTCCTAAATTTCAGGTCTCACGATCGAACGTGGTGAGAGGGTCTCAGGCGAAACGCCAGGCGCGCCCTTCCGACACCCCTGGGGGTGCGACAGGGCGGGGCTATCTGTAAGGAGAATCGAATGAGGGATTGGCTGCGTAATCGATCCATGCCAGAAGTCATGCTTCCGTTGAGTGTACGCACGAATGCGTAGGACTCCCCGTACACCTAGGGAGCACCCTACGCATGTCTCGTAGACTCGTCGAGCAAATCGATGTGGGGCAAATCAATTCAGGAGTCGATCCCCTACTCGAACGAGATGGGAGAGAGGGAGGGAGGGGAAAAAAGGGACGATTGAGCAGGGACCGACCGTCCCGGCATTACTATAGGCCTACCACGAAACGTTCTTAGAACCCAGAGATGTTTCGATGTGCTGAGACAGGACAGTCCCAGACAGAAATGATCCAAGAACGTGGCGTGGAAACCACACGAGGTTCTTAGCACATCGTTTGGCAGGCCGATCGGAGCGCCAGGACGCTTCGCCACTGCCCGAGTGACGAGGCGCGCTGCCCAGCCGTGCGTATGTCCGGTGCTGGTCGCCGAGAGGGAGCGCCGGAAAGGCAGCACCCCCCTGCGGGCCTGGAACCGCCGACCCCCTGCGGGTGGAGGAAGGCCACCTAGGGTCGCAGGGCAGGCGGGGATCCCCCCCCTCCTCCTCCTCCTCCTCCTCTTCCTCCTCCTCCTCCTCTAGAGGCCTCCTCCTCCTCCTCCTCCTCCTCCTCCTCTAGAGGCCTCCTCCTCCTCCTCCATCCACCCTCCTCCTCCTCCCCTTTCTCCTCCTCCTCCTCCTCCTTGCTCCCCGCTCCCCGCCCGCTCCCTCGCTCCTCTGCATGTCGCGGGGCCGCCATGGATCACTGGCCCGTTGGCCGCTGGAGCCCAGGATGAGCCCCCAGAGGCTCAACAAACTGGCGGCGAGCGAGGGGGGGAAGCGAGAGGGGGAGAAAGCCGCCTTCTCGGGAGGCGGTGGGGCTTCTCAGAAGGCCTCTGGGCTTCGGAGAAATTTTCCGTGTCTTCCCGAAAGGCCCAGGAAACCTCCCGGAAGGCCCGAGAACATCCGAGCCTTCTCAGAAGGCCGTCCCCTCCTCACTTCCCCCCAGGCTCGCCGCCGAAAAATCATCAAACCGAATCAACGCACTTTTTCCAAGGGGAGGAGGCGCTGCAGACGCGCTCGCGCCTGGCTCGAGGCAGTCGGCTAAACCAAAATGAAGAATACTAGGGACGGGAAAGGGGCACACAGAAGGGCAAGCTAAGCGCGGGTCACAGCTGAGAGCCTGTAGGCTTGGGTCTCCTCTGGGGGGGCGGTGGCGAGAGCGAGGATTCCGCCCTCCAGAGATGCGGCCTGGGGATGGGGCGCAAACGCGGGGCTGCGGCACAAAGAGATCCCCGCGGCCCCGTTCGGGGACTCCCTACGGGTAACGCCGTGATTTTCTGAAGTGCTTGCCGACCGCATCCACGGCGTGGGGGGCGTTGCTCTTAAGCAGGGGCGGCGGCGGACTATGCGTCGGCGCTCCCTCCTGACCGCACCTTTGCTTGCCCATTCCCTGATGTGATGTTGTGGCGTTGCTGAATACATCGAGACAGTGTCGCGCGGATCTGCTATCACGGCAACACTTTAAGCCTTCTCGCACGGAGCATGTCAATGTGCAGTTGCCCAGGGAACAACGAGCATCAACTGACTCCTCCACTGCAGTCAAGCACCTAATCGTATGCTGCTTCGATTCCCAAACAGGTGGCCGACACCCTCAACTCACATCCTCCCGACACCCCCTTACACGTGAAAGACAATACTTCCCGACATAGGTCCGCGCCGGCTTCCAACCCGACCAACGAGTGGGGGACATCATGATATCTCCCACGGCCTACACCTAGGTGCAATATCCAAAGCAGACCGTCTGGATGAACTCAGAAAGATCACCCCTCAGCCCACAAGACTGCCGATCCTAAAATCAACAGAATGGTATACCTCTGGCTTGATAAAACATGGGCTGCCGAGCAGAACAATCAAGCTTCCAGCCTAGACCTTCAGGTTGAAACCTGGAAACGGGAAGCCAACTGTTGGCCAACTTGTGGGAGAGCTAGAACGCCAATTCGAAGAGCAGTGCTGCCATGCGCGCCCGAGCGCGGGCAGTGGAAGCCCGCGGGGGCAATGCCCACACTTCTGCCACGGTGCCTTCAGAACGTCATGGAATGCTCCATGCTCTTGCGTGCAGATGTGAGTGTTAGAGGAGTTGTAGGATCTGACAGGGCCCGAGCACAATTTTCCCAAACTTCCTGTGCGCTCTCGGGTGCTCTTGGGGGCGCCCTTCTGGCGTTCGCTGCAAGGGCCTCCTAGAAGCCAAACCCGCCCCAACCCCCTTCAACATTCCCCGAGAGCCGTTCAAGAAATGCCCAAAAAGGCACAGGAACCCTCGGTAAGCTCAAGAGACCGCCCTGGGGCTCTCTTGGGGGCCTCTTTGGCTGTCTTGGAGGCCCTGGGGGCAGGCCCTAGAGACCAACATCAGTCAACCACATGCGATGTTGTGGGATTTCCGCAACTGCTCGCCATCTTGGTCTTCAGAGCGGCCAAGACGGCACAAGAAGCCCCCAATACCCGCCGAAGATGAGGGCCCAAAAGGTTCCCAAGAGGTCCGCAAGAGGGGCCCTGAAAAGGGAAACTCAAACTGCCGTTCGGAGGCTTCCACCCCAAGATAGACCCCGAGACAGCCAGCAGGCCCCCCAGAGGCCCTCTTAGGCATCCAGAGAGATCCCCCGAGGCCCCCACGAGGCACCCCGGAGGGCTCCACTCTTATTCTCAATGAGCCTCCAGAGAGAGGCCTCATAAGAGGCCCCGAGTCGTATCCCAAAGGCCTCTTGTCCACGGTTCAGGCACACAAGAGGGATGTGTCGATGGCCTCTGGCTGCCTTAACCATAACCTTGCGCGCCGCGCCGCGCGAAGCACGATTGTCTTCGCGCTCTTGCGCCTTACCCGATGGAGAAGGACAGCTCCCCCGCCCAAGCCGCGACAGGCGCAGCGCGGTCACCTCCGCTCCCCTGCGGATGACTCGGCCAGAACACATCCGATCTACGAGGGCGAGAACGACGAGGACGACAACGACGAGGTTGACGAGGACGAGGAGGACGAGGACGAGGACGACGAGGACAACGAGAACGACGACGACGGCGAGGACGAGGGCTCCGACCGCCGCCACCGAGAACCCTCGGGACGCGGGGGTGCCCGAGCTCTGAGCGTCACCTACTGTAGCCCCGGACGACGCTCAGGCGTGCCACCGGGCTGGCAGGGTTCACCCGGTCTTGGGTCTTCCATGCCGGCGTTCTCCGCCTCTCCTCTGAGACTGCGGCCTGCCGCTGGGCGCGGGGGGAACGCCCATGCCGCGCCGACCCCACGACGTCTGCCCGGCCCGTCGCGACGCCAGGCGACCCAAGCAGGCCACGCCCACCGCTGAAGAAAAAGACACGGCATAAACATTAACTTTTGGCGCTCCACGTGGATTTCTTGGATCTGCGCCGGACCCCCCTCCCTGGCGCGCGGAGCGCGCCAGGGGCGGCGCCGGAGGCGCCGCCGGGGGCCCCTGCGCAGACCCAAGAAATCCGCGCAGAGCGCCCGAAGTTGATGTTTATGGTGCTTTTTTCTTCTTCGAACCGCGGCGTGGGCCCGCGGGGGCCGCTCGGCCGCCTCCGCTCTGGGGCCCCCGCCGCTGGAAGCAGGAGGCGTGCGGAGAGCGACCGAGGCATGTCAGATACGCTTGCCCCCCTCGAGGAGGCGGCGGCCGGCGTGCGGGGCGCGCCGCCGTCGGCGCCTCGGCGGGGCCTCCTCCTCCTCCTCCTTCCTCGTTCTCCTCCTCCTCCTCCTCCTCCTGCTCCTGCTCCTCCTCCTCCTCCTCCTCCTCCTCCTCCTCCTCCTCCTCCTCCTCCTCCTCCTCCTCCCCCTC